ATTCCTGCAGACCAGAAGATGAGGCAGGCCAACGCATGAGGGAAGGAGCCATGCGGAGAGCAGGCAAGCACGGAAACACGGGCCATTCAGTCTGTAGACAGGCGTACAAGTTCCCACGCACGTCGTCTAACGAGGCCTCTTGGAAGAAGATACAGGAAAAAGTCATACCTTGACCATGCGGCGAGGAGGTCGGATCCGGCCAGACTTTTGAGCCGGGCCTCCTCCCCCACGTCCTGAAATCATCTTGCCGACAGCTCAGGCCGAGGTGGGCGGCAGCAGAGGGCGGGAGTTCGGGTGGATGTATTGTGTAGGCGGTCTATGCGTCGGTTTCTTCGGCTATGAAATGCGTGGGAGACAGAGAGGAAGAGCCTTGCGAAGCGGTGTCGGAAGAGCGAGCAGAGAGGTTACTATTCCGAAGAATGTTTGTCGAGGGTGGCGGCGGGGTACTCGATCGATCGTAGCGTAATCGGTGGCCTTGCTGGAACGCGGGCGGCGGAGATCTGGGGGCTGCAAGGACAAAAAATACTTTCTGTGTGTGTGTGTGTGTCGAAGAGGATGAAAAGCAAGCAGCATATATGCATCAGCTCTCTTGCTGTGACAGAAGACGAGAGAGCAGGCTGAACGAGGTCAAGCCGCAAGACCAGACGGAGAGCGACCAGGCAGGCGGATACAAGGCTGAAGTCAAGTGCCAGTGCCACGAGGTTGAGGGCCCAGATCTTGGATGGAGCCTTCCACCTTGGCCAATAATAGAGAAGAGAGACCCCATGCAAACCGCACGAGCCAGTCATTGACGATGTCCTACTGACGCGACGCGTTAATTGGTGGTCGGAACCCTTAGAGACCGATTTTCCGACACGAGAAAAATCCATTCCACCTCGGAGCCGCCAGTGACGACATGTTCGAGGTCGCCTCCATCTCAACCAAGCCATCCGTCCTTTCTGCTCCTGCCGCATTTTGCATCGAGTCTGGCCACTCAATCTGACCCTGAATCATTAAAGATACATCGATAGAGCCTCGACCTCCGACAGAGCTCGACCTCCGACAGAGCTCGACCTCGAGACAGAGCTCGGGACAGACGCATCACAATGGCATCCCGCTCAGCGACAGCCCTTTTCCTCTCCAGCGTTCTCCACGCCGCCAGGCCAACAACAGCCCGGGCAGCAGCAAGAACCATCCCCAGAGCCATCACCAGATCCCAACAACCTCGCATCGCGCCCCGACTCTCCCAGCGCTTCGCCCACAGCATTCCTCGACCGCCTCAGAAGAAGCCTGCGACACCCGAAGCCTTGACGCCCTCAGAAGCATCCTCGGAAGCCTCGACACCGTCCGAAACCCCGCCCAAATCTCGCGTCGAGTCCCAACCTCACTACCGCCTCACCTTCACCTGCACCCCTTGCAATACACAGTCCACCCACAACATCTCCAAGCAGGGCTACCACCGCGGCTCCGTCCTCGTCACCTGTCCCGGCTGCCGCAACCGCCACGTCATCAGCGACCACCTCAAGATCTTTGGCGAGCGCAACATCACCGTCGAGGACCTCATGCGCGAGAAGGGCCAGCTCGTCAAGAAGGGCACCCTCGGCGAGGACGGCGATATCGAATTCTGGGAGGACGACGTGGAGGACAACAATGGCGACGTCAAGATGGCTGGCCAGTGAGCCTGGCGCCGGTGCACCAGCTTAGTTGCGGCGCGTGATCAGGACCCAGGAACGTCGGGACATGATTGTATGAGTAGGAGCAGCAGAGGGATGCCGAGCACATCATTGTACCAACATCTTGTAAAGAATCCTGTAACACAACATCACACCCCTTAGCCAAGGCTATGATTCCATAGAGGGGACGCTGCGGAAGGCCCGCGTGGTGTCCAGCAGCGATCACTTGCGACGGAGCGAATTATTCATGCAAAACATCTTTGCATTAAAAGGTCCAGCTTATCTCTGCCATGTAGAACACCTAAGAAACTAGCAATGCGATATGCATTCTTTTTTTTTTTCAAAACCTCCAACGCCTTTCGATGCAAAAATCATTTCAGCGGCGGCAGAGGCGCCAGCGAGGAACCCGGGAACAGATCACCACGACTTGTACGCCTGCCGGTATGCCTTGAACTCCTGTCCCTTGACCTTGTTCCGCATCTTCTTCTTCTCCGTCTTCTTCCTCTTGTCGCGGCTGTACTTCTCCGGGTGCGCCACGGCCTCGATCTTGCGCTTGCTCGAGCGCGCCTGCCTGCGCGCCTTGACCTCCTCGCGGATGGCGAGGAGCTGTTTGGTGTACTCGGCCGTGCCAAATTTCTTCTGCAGCGCGTCCATGAGGATCTGGGCGCGCGTCTTGAGGGCGTCGTGTTTGGTCTTGAAGCCCTCGTCGAGCGAAAACGGCGTCGATGCGTGCGGGTCCGTGATGGCCTGCAGCGGGAACAGGATCGTCTTGAGCGACGGCGCCAGGTTCTCGTCCGGCACCCGTCGGCACACCGTCTCGAGCACCTCCATCGCCACCACCTTGGGCACCATGCCCATCGACGTCGACTTGACGTCCTGCCGCAGGATCGATGACAGCTTCCAGAAGAGGTACTGCAGGTCCTTGCCGCGCTGCTCGAGCCGCGAGTCCTCGGCCTCTTCCTCATCACCTTCCGCCAGCGCCTCGGCCGTCGGGCCCTCGTCGCGCGTCCGCGCTTGGAGACGGGGACCGAGGAAGATGAGGATCTGCGTCACCTCGTTGGCGAAGGCCTCTTCGATCTCGGGCGCCCGCAGCGTGCCGAGCGCCAAGCTGACGAGATCCTCGACGTCGTCGCTCTCGAGCTCCATGCCGTACGAGCCCTTGAGCGCCTCGCCTGCCTCTGCTGCCTCGCCGGCAAAGTCTGTGAGGAACGAGCTGAGAAGTTTGACAGCGCTCAGCTTGACCGACGGTTCGGGGTGCGCCATGCAGCCACGGAGATCAGCCCATAGTTCGGCTGAGTCGGCCGAGAGAATCTCCTCTGGGTATGTCTGGGACAGGACCTGCGCGACGTGTAGCGCATTGTTGACCAGGTCCTCGGGCGCCACACGGATGTCTCCGTCACCCACGATACCGGCGACCTTTTCGACGACGAGCTTGAGCTCCTTCTTGTCCTTCTCAGACGGCTCCCTGGCTTCGAAGAAGAAACCAAACGCCTGAATAGCGAGACTCAAGACGGCTGGGTTGTCGTCCTGCTCGAGCCAGGAACGGAGAAGCGTCAGGAAGTTGCGCATGCGCTTCTTGTCGCGCGCGGAAGATCTCCTTGACAGCTCGCAGCTGCAGACGACACTTTTCCGAGTCGTCGTTGCGACGACGAAGATGAGAGCAGAAGCAGTTGCAGCGATC